ATTGGTGGTTTTGTGAATCCTGTACAGGTAATAGCTGCTTTAAAAGAGCTTTAGAAATAATATTGACATTTACATTAGCATTGACCTTTACCTGTCATTGACCCCTTATTCAGAGTCTCTACTCTTAACTGCTCCACTCCTCTTTCTACCTCCTAACATGCTTTCTCGCTAGTCCACCAACAGTAATCCGATATCCTTCCTTTCATCCTTGGCCAACAGCACTGGAGGCGGTCATTGTTCGACCGGGCCTCGACTGAGGCAGTTATTTTGGCGATCCACAAATTTGTTTTGGCTCAAGCTCTATGTCGGATGCCCTTCTCGATACAAATTCCTTGGGCGAGAGGTGGGGTCCACTCAGACCGACTGCCATGCACAAACTCATACCTGAGGACAATTTAGAGATGCCAGTTCATTCGGCAGTCATGTTTTTGAGCTGTGGGAAGAAGCTGTAGTACCCGAAGAGAGCCCACTCGCTGCAAGGCAACATTGCAACCAACTGAACCACCGTGCAATAAGTTCATCCACAAACACAAATTAAAATCCAGCCTTCTGGATTCCTACACTTTTTTACTTTCCTGACTTCCAGAGATACAAAAAAAAACAAAAAACAAAACTGTTAAGATGAGCATTTTGATCAGGAGCAGTTTCATTTATTCATCCTACGAAAGATGTCAAATCTGGACAGAATTAAATATTTAGCACATGTGTTCTGTTTGGAAATGTTCAAAAGTTAGGAGTTGAAGTGTTTTGTTTAACCTCTAAACAGTTTTAAAACCACACAGAGGTCCACTCTAAACCTTTCATCCAAGGAAGTCTAGATATCAAAACAGAGTACACATGCATTTTTTTTAATTTCCTAATAAAAGTTTATTTTGGGGCTCTCTCACTCAATAACTAATAACTAGACAATCATTCATTTTGAGAAGTGTAAATTCAAAGATGAAGGATTTAAATTAAATAGGGCCATATTGTTTAGAAATCGGGGTTTGATTTTGTGCCTTCAGAATTTAGTTTGGGAATGCAAACATTCTTATATCCAAGACTGTGTAGAAATCCTAAGGTTTATAGCAGGAATATGTTAAATATTCCATCCACTCAGACCATTTTCTGTAGAAAGTATCTCTCTGCACTTAGAGAACGACATATTTTCTCCCCTGCAGCTGTAAAGGAATTTTACATTTACTTTTACATTTTCCTGCTTTCAAGGTCCCTCTAAAAGAAATAAATTCAGAACTTTTATAGAAATCCAGCCCGACTCCTCTCACTGATATTAATAGATACATCCTCCACTCATGACACTGATACAGTTGATCCACCAGTTGCATAAAATAAATCCTGGTTGAGTTAGTGGCCCCTGCAGCTAACACTGTGATCAAGGCGCTAAACGCTGCCCCCACTCAATACAAAGAACTCATAATGTAATTACAGACCCCCCCCCTGTGAGAGGAAATGCATCTCCTCTCTGACGTAAACAGGTTTGACTCATGAACCTGTCCTGCAGCGGTAATCACAGCACTAATTTAATTTCTTTTGCACCTTCGGCAAAACATCCCCTCTGCGAATCCCAACGTGTCGGCTTCATTTAAGCCCAGGACTCTGCGTGTCAAGGAGTCGTTCTCTCACCTTTGTTTTCGTGTAGCAACTGCTTGTCCTCAGGGTGGATGCTTCCCCGATCACAGCGGAGGTTTAACTGCGGCAAAGAAACCCAACTCATTACCACCTAATTGGTTTTGGAGAGCCTCGGACTGATAATAGGATCATATATAAAAGATTTCATTCCCAAAGCACTATTGCAACATAATTTACAGTTCCTTGGAAACCTGTTCATACTGTGTGAACTTTTTCTCGTTTTGTTTTGCTACAACCACAAACTTTAATAAGTCTTGTGGGATTTTTTTTTTTTTTGATATATCACATAACTGTGAAGTGGATGGATATAAACAAATATATTAATGTCTATTTAGAGTATATTATTAATAAAAAGAAAAAAGGTGCCATTTATTTTAGCCACCTTTTACTTTTATATCCTCAAACAAAACAAGCATGAAGCTAAATAGAGGCTTCAGAAGCAAACCTGTTAGATAAAGGGTGTCAAACACATTTTCATTTTGGGCCAAATCAAAAATCTGAATGTTCTTACAGGGCCGGTTGTGCCAAAATATATAGATAAAACCAATTCAACTGTTAAAATATCAATAAATAGCTTTTCCTCCAGGATTTTGTGATTATTTTAGTGTATTTTTTGCGATCAAAATAACAGATTTTGTGGTGCCAATCTAGAAATGTTTGTAAAGAATTTCTACAATATTCGCACTAATGTATGATGTTAAATGTGACTTCTTATCACTCATATCAATCAAGCAAGGCTGAGGCAGCAGTCACTTAAACTCAAACCTTTTGACCAATTTTGAGAAAATTTGCAGTAAAATCTGGAGAAAAAAAAAAATAAGTGGAGATTTGTAGATTTTGTGTGATTTTTGCAGATTTGTGAAAAACCTTGAGCAACTTATTGATGTGATCTGGAGTCTAGAGGGCCATATAAAAAGTCACAGCGGACCAGATTTGGCCCCCGGGCCTTGAGTTTCATACCTGTGTGTTGGATGCAGCTCACTTGAGACCAGCAGCACAACATACAACTAGAATTACAACAGAATCAAAGTAAAATTCATTCCACTTCGGGCTTGGAAACTTTTGCAAACTTTTAGACTGAATCGCTATTTTTCTTTCTAAATCAAAAACTCCACTTTAATAATGTCTGCAAACCATCCAAAGCAAATCTGAAATGCGAGCGCCTGACTCTCAAGTCTCTTGGATTTAATCATCACCCCTAATGAGAGCTAATTAATTTCACTGTTTAGTATTTTCATCCAAAGTAACAGCACAAAAACGGGCAACAGAAGAAGAAATCACGCCAAAAGATGATTCTATGTCCTCATCATGTCATGTATGACATGCTGCATCTTGCTGAGCTGATGACTTCTAGCACCCAGTGCAATAATGGGCTCCGTAATTGACAGTGCACCAAGGTAGAGACACTAACCTCTCTAAATGCTGTTTTTGTTGTGTTTTTTTTTTTTCCAAGATAATGCCCAGATGACTTTCAGTATGCAATTTAGAAACTGCTCTACTTAATATCCTTGCTGTTGTCCTTCAAGCTAATAAAATCCCTCAGAGTATTTTACAAAAAAATTGCAAAGGAAAAATTATGAGGCTCTTTTAATGGCATTCGAGGCACATCCGGATATATCTGGAGGGCAATCTGAAAGCAGAGGAGAGGACATTTTGCAACATTTCTCAACCTGGTAGCGAGAAGGCAGACATGCGGGATAAGCAAGGTTGGGTTGATGAATTTAGTCGAATCATTCTTTCCCTCTGTTTTCTGTCCCTGTTTCACAGTTTTAATGAAAATAGGCTGAACACCCAGATGTGGATTAATACCTTCCCATTCTCTAGGTCAGAGAATGGGAAGGAATGGTTTGAACCTGCTATTTTAACGTCCTTAAAATGTCTTGTTATCTGTCCCTTTGCTCTGCTCCCAGATGAATCCTCATCCAGAACATAAGCCCTTTCTCCTCTTGCTTCATATCTCGGCCTAATTTGTTTATCTCAGTGAACAAGCTTCTGGAAGGCATCTCAAACCACAAACCTTGTTTCCATGCCAAACCAGGCTTATCCTTACAGTAATAACTGAGTCACTTGCTCTCTTTGTTTGAAGCTATGGCTGCTAATGGTTGCCAGTGCTGTGCCTGAGATAATGGAGGAGCGTGTGGTACATGCTGTAAAAGCACAGGGTATGGCCTGCTGGAAGAGGATTTAACTATAGGAGGAAATGTGCTTTTAAGGTTGCGTGACCCTATCTACCAGAACCTGACTGATCCCAGAGGTTGATATGTGATTATTGATGCTATCAGAAAGACATTGGCTAATAATCTCTGAGAAAGTTACTTTTAGAAAGATGAAACCACATGTGACTACATTTACATGAATTTTTAAGGATTTTATTTTCTTTAACTAAATACTACTACCATTTTAACAATGACAGCAGTAAACTCTGGTCAGATTAGACTAAGATTAAACAAAAGTTAAACAAAGGTTGAATATATGGACGAGTATCTCATGACCACTGCTGTATAAAGCAGAGGAAAACAGCGGCAAAATACAGGATTTGATCTGGATGATCTAGAGAGACTACGCAAAGTGGAGTGTGCATCAGTCACTCTTCTTTGCATGCTAAACGTTGAGGCTGCTAATGGTGCGCTGTGATGCCATAGCTCGGCTGGGGACTGCAGCTCTGAGGAGGAGCTTTGTGGAAATGGGCGGAGTTTTGTGAGAGCAGGCGTTTAGGCACCCCCGAATTACTGCCACAAGAGATTGAAGGGTTTCTCAAAGCAACACTCGGGGTACGGTTTGATGAAGGAGTAACATTATAACATGATGTAAAGCAAAAAAGAAACAAAAACAAAAACAAAAAACAAAAAAGATTTCATATTATTCTTTCTCTTTAACAAATGGGTCCAGATGGGCCAGTAAGCATTTGCCATGATTTCATGTGTGCATCAAGCATTTTTTTAATTTTTTTTTATTTTGGTCTCTAAGCCTCCTGAATAAATGCGGTAGGATTTTTCTTACATTTTTATTGTGAGATTATACCAATGTCATAGGTATAATCTCGTTTTATACACATCTTCAGCCGACAGAGTGGCGGCTGCTCCTGTGTACTTAAAAAGCGGCTTCCTGCTGATGCATATCAGACAGCTGACATTGCTCAGCTTTGAAAGGGGAACTTTTGGCCCGTTTCATGCTAAAAACCGGCCCAGCTGTTGTCCAGCTGTTATGTTGGGAACCCGAGGGAAGCTGAAGCACTAATAGCTTGTATATTTCTGTACCAATTTGCTGGAGCGGCTCACTGCCTCTAGGCCACCGCGCGTCAGTAGCGGCGCTGCAGTGCATGCGCACACCCTGGAGGATATAGCTGCCGCGCGCCCCCGACCGCGTGTGCGACGGCGCGCGTGTGAACTGGTGGGAGAGGAGGAGAGGACCAGTGAGGCAGAGGAGGAGGAGGAGGCAAGTGCAGAAGGCTCGGCACTGAACGGGACTCCGCGTAAATAAACAGCACAGCAGCAAAGCGCTCCGTGGAGGGGCAGCTGAAGAGACGGAGCACACCGGGCTTCGCGTGTCGCATCGAAGAGGAGCAGTCAGGTAAGCGACGCCAAATTACACAATTTGTCGCACAAACACGCGCGCTCGCGCGTGTGGTGCAGTTTACAGTTCACTGTCCCGAGTTAGTGGATGAAGAAGCCGCTCCAGCACTCTGAGCTGGATACTGGGTTTCTGCAAGCACAAGCCTCTTGACAGCTCCCTCGCTGGGTTTCAGGGGCCATTTGAAAGCCGAATGTACTTTTCTGGTATCACATTTATGTTCTGCTGGAGAAAATTACTTGGAGTCGTCTCAACTGCAAAAGCGACGTGTTGTTGTAGTTGTAGGTTGCTCAAAAGATGCCCAGAAGACTGATTGCCACTCATTTAGCCCTGCCCTCATATGTAATAATAAAAAGAGTAACACTTATCATTTTCTATGAATAGATTTTAATCAATATCTCTGAGTAGATATTATGTTAAATTACTACCACTGATTGCTCAGCCAAATTAGTTAAAGTCCAACTTTGATTAATTTTGCTTATCCATTTTTCCAATCATGTCAAAATGAAAAAAAAAAGAGAGAAGTGATTAAGCCCCAAACATTACTGAATTGTAATGCACATTTTAAATATTCGATTAAAGTATTTTGGTTCTGTTGACCATGAGCATATGTGTGGCAGACTTGGTAATATTTTTATACTTTAGGGAATTTAAGCCAGTTTAAAACATTTAAGCCTGTTTCTGAAAATTATAATAGGAGTCCCCCAAGGCTTGGTGTTATTTTCCGTCTTTATCTCTAAAATGGAAAACAGTATGCCTGTAGCTGAAGTGGTCCTTATGAAGATTAGACAATACTTGACATATATTTCTGTTCTTTCAAGCAGACTGTTGACAAGCTTCTAATGTCTTTTTTAGCATTTGTTGGTTCTTAGTATAAAGATAACTAAATTAGGGTTGTTTTCCAGAAATCTTTCCCATATTTCAAGTCATATTACTTCTGCACTAGGCTGAGACCTTATTGAGAGAGTATCATCATAGATATATTTAAATATTTGTTTGGATGGTAACCATTATTTTGGAATGCATATTGATAATTTAGGTTAAATGTAACTGAATATGGTAATATTATTCTTTGCATGTTATTTTTTGGAATTTGGTAGAGGTGCTTCCTTTTGCTTTGTGTCGTGATGATGCCAAATCTTTAGAGTATTCTAATGTCTGATCTTTTTGTGTCTTTGGGAAGTTTAAAGCTCCTTTCAGCTTTCTGTAACAGAAGGATACTGCAGTTATTCCTGGACTAGATTTGTACCTGTATTATGTTGAGTCGGATTTGTTTTATTTTGCTTGTGTTAATGTCGATTTTTCAAAGTTAACTTGGAACTTGTGCTGGTGTGCCTTCTGGACCGGGTCTTTCTCTGAAAAGAGGAGTTAATGGCAACCACTGCCTCAAGGTTAAGAAGCTTTGCTTGCTAGCAGTTTAGTTTGACTTTTGGACTAGAGTTGTTGCTGAACTTGTTAAAGCAGAGCTGTTGCATCTAAACAGAATGACTGGGCTCTGACAAAGGCTTTTGCCTGTTTTTTTTTTTTTTTTAATTTGGCATAAAACAAACAGAGAAACTGTGAAATGTTTGGTTACAGCTACGATGATGTGAAAGTCTTATAATCAGTCCACGCCTCATCAAGATGTGTGATTTTTAAAGAATCAAAATAAAATACCTAATGATAAAGTTAAATAATTATTGAGCAATATGATACATTTAACTATGTTTGACAAAAATTTTGATAATTTTAGTGACTTATATTTTTTAATGTCCAGAATTATAATTTTTTTAATTGTACTGTAGCTGAGTTCCTGTTTTGACCTGTGTGGATGAAATTGCTGCCTTAATACAGAAAATCCCTCATATCCTAAGCTGATTTGCTGCCCACATGTTTAATTCCTGTCATGCTCATATCACATCTCTATCTTGGCTTTCCCTGACCAGCCTGTTTGGTCTAATTTTCCCCACACCATCAGCCTCACCAGTTGCATCTCTCAGCCGTCATTTCACAAGTCAAACAATTGTTGCACAGAGAAAAATCCAATTCTCACCCAATCCTTTGCTTTCTACCCCCTCCTCTTCCTTCTGTCTAGCCTCCCCCACCCGCCGCCCCCAATCAAAGCTTTGGCCAGGGGGGAGCGCGCCGTCATCCAACATCTCAACAACACCCCTCCTTCCCCTTCTCCTCGTCGTCCTCCCAGACGCTCTCACTCATACACACACCCAAACACACATGCCTCGACTGCACACTTTCGCTCTCTGCTCTGTTGGCCAAATTAATACAATGCTAATGACCTCTGCTTTATTGTCTGAAGCCTCGGTGCTCTCTGAAAAGGCTGACACACTTTCCAATGATGTTTATTCACTCCACACAGACTACAGTTAATCTGTTTAAGAAGATAACAATATCCCTCTATCCCTGCCTTATGCCTTGTTAGCATTAATGCAGAAACAGGAGGTTAAAACTGGAGATATCTCTGCGTTGCTGGACTTTTTGGCGGTCTCTTGAGCAGGCACTGCTCTGCAGCTGCCTGGAGATCTGCTAGTAGGGAGCATTTCAGGCCCACTTGACAAATAAGGAGAAATCGGGACAAGATAGTGACCTACATTGTGCTGCCATCTTTTACTCTCAGCATTGGCGCAAACGGCACCAAGGCGGGGGGGAGATTTGCATAACTAAGGGATTACGATGACACACGTTGGCCAGAGTTATTGAGAGAGCGCCAGTCTAAGTCACACTCCTGACCTAAAACCAGCAATGGCGCTAGTTCTCCGCTCTGGGGGCTGTGGGAAAAGCTTGGGTGTTTGGAGGGAAAATGCCACCGATTCCACCCTGTGGGCTGAAGAAGCACGCAGACTATGCTCTGAGAAACGACTGAGGCTCCTTCTGTGACTGGCTGTCTGTGGCATGGTGAATGCTGCACGACGGAACAAAGTGCCCCACTGACAGAGAGCGCTCTTATGTGTCACTTTGTGCTGATGATTACATCATCGCTGCGAGGAACTGGACTAAACCTGGGAGCCTTTCAGTTGCCGATTATCTCAACAAGGACACTCATTTATGTAGCAGACAGATTCATGTCAGTCATTCTCAGATGGAACTGATTAAACACGCCAGCTGATTGACGCTGCAGTCAGTGAGAAATACGTTCATTATGGATGGCATTTACAGTGCCTTGCTGAAGTATTGACACCTCTTAAACTCTTTCTCACATTTCCTCACTTTGCAACTGCAAACATCAATATATTTCGCTGGTTCTTCATGGAGTAGCCCAACAAAACATGGAGCAATAAGGCAAACAATTTTCCCTTTTTAATTAAAAATCTGAAGAGTGTGCATTTGTATTTAGTTCTCCAGAGTAAATACGGTCTAGAATTGGATTTAATTTCTTCAAGCTGCAAATATTTTAGTGTTTGAACATCTAGAGAGTGAAATTTCCTGCCTTGTCTTCTTTCCAAAACAGCTCAAGCTCAGTCATATTAGATGGAAAGTGTCTGCGAGCAGAAAGTTTCAGGTTTTGCCACAGATTCTCATTTGGACTTAGGTCTGGATTTTGACTGGACCTCTCAGAAACATAAATCCTTATTAATATTAAAAAATAATGTTTATTAATCAAAGTGCTTTAAAAATATCCGACTCAGTTAAAATGTATGAACAGGTCAAACCTTTACAAAAACTGGAAATCGAAATATCAAAATTCAACTATAAAAGTGATTGGCACACGTCTCACATAAAACCTATCATCTTCACACACAGTTTAAGAAGCAGGTTTTTATAAAGTGTCACGCTGTCACTTTGTCATTAGCTGTCAGGCTGTGTTGGAACACAGTCCACGGTACATGCCAGCATCTTTGTGTTTGCAAAACGATCTGTGTTAGCCAAACACGTTTCAGTAACTTTTATACTTGAAACAACACAGATTTTCATTAAATAACTCCAGAATGTTTAAGGTTTTGCTTTTTAAATGGTAGAAATTAGCTATTAGATGAGCCCTGCTCTGATGCTCATATTCCTCAAACTGAGATTAATGTGACTGCTGTCTACTGCAAAATAGATACGGACTGCTCCACAAATTCACACTTTATAAATTGAAACTATCTTTTACATAGATATAAACTTATGGTATGCATGCTCTGGATGCTTTTTCAGACCTTCTACCTTGAAATAAAACTCAGATGACAATGGCCGAATGACTAAGAGGACGGAAAAAGAAAAAAGATCAGACAGTTCTTCTTTTCCGTAATGTCTCTGAAGGAAAACCACATTCAACCCTCATCAATGCGCCATGATGTTTTACTTGTCATAAAAAATTGCACAGGCAAAATTCAATAATTCACCATCATGTGTCAGCCCCGCTGATTGACCGGATGATTGAGTGTGCTCTGGGGACCCATATATGATCCAGTCGTCGCTGTGAGAACCGTGAGTGTGCTGCTCAGCTGAGATGAGGCCAAATCTCCAGGGACTGATGGAAGCCCGTGCCTATCCATTAGTGTCGCTTCGGCCTGGGTGTTTCTTCCCAGCAGAGCAGTCACACACGTCAGCGCAGCACACTGACATCGCCTGGACCCCTTGTCACAAACATTTTTGGCTCTCTTTGGGACTGATGTGCGCCTCATTAGGGGAAGCGACACTCTCACCTTCTTCACGGATGCTTGAATACTTAGTTGTAATTCAGATATATGTATGCAGTCAGAGGAATGCATCACAAAAGAGCGCTTTACAGACATGTTCATTATGTAAAGATGAAAACACATCTCTCTTTCCGTCTGTCGCTGTATATGCTACGTGTAGGCAAGGTGGTGGATGCAATTACAGTTTCACAGGCAGTTAGGCAGCAGGTCTAATAGGGACTGACACTTTCCTGTGAATCCACTTAATGCAGCTGCAAGTGTTGATGTTTACAGCTTAGACTTTTATTATTCTGCTCAAAAAGAATTGTGACGTATAGCTTGGAAAAACTGGTGAATGAGGTGATTTATGTGTTGCTCACAGCACCTCTCCTGACTAATTAGCTG